CATCATAATATTATAATATAATGCATTTTTTGAACAAAATGGAGCTCAAACAAGGTGTAAATAACTTTTGATCGTGCTTATTACCATATCACCTCTCTATCTTCCAACAACCGGCAAAATTGACCATGTCTTCATTTCGTAAACTTACCTTTAAAGTCATCACAAAGTTGAAACAAGCTTATCAAATAAAATTTGACATCAGCATCAAAATAACATTCATTGTCACGTAAAAAAAGGGTCATCGAGGAAAACTTTGTTCTATTTTGAAGCATATTTTTGACATGAAAGCCACTGGAGATTGTTTGGGAAACCCTTAGTAAGAGACAAACCGGCCAAATATTCCTAATAGGTGGGCAAATAGTCTTATCAATTAACTTTGTCCCACTTTTGTGTGGAAATAGAAAATATGGAATTAAAATTATTGATCAAATAAATAAACTCTTTTCATTTTTAGAATATTCGCATTCAAAGGGGAAAATGATAATAAATTTTAATTTTCCATTTGAAGAAAAGAGAGATTATTATTGACAACCTCAATTTGTAAAGAATGATCCTTCTTTGTTTGTATTGTCCAATTTAAGAATGCATAGAATTTACATTTATGTCCATGCCGACGTGCACCCTCCATTTTGACGTTCTTACCACACTTCCCAATAGGCAATAGCTAGCAAGCACAATCCCTTCGTTTCATGTGCTAGATCGACCCCTCCCCGCTCCTCTCTTCGTCGAGAATGGAAGAAAAATCAGAATTGATTTTAACTGAATTAAATCGATCGTGATGATTAAAAAATAATAAAAAAAAAAGTTTTTTTTTTTTTAACCGGAAGAATTTTTAGATAATTACATCAAAATAAGATTCAACTTGGTCTATTTTGCAAAAAATTGGGACCCTGGTGTAATTTCCCTAAAATGACAAGACATATCACATATACAAGGGGCAATGTATACTACTAGTGGTGCCTAACCTTCGAGGTGCGTCATCTCATACGTCATACTTCAATAATGTATACAAATCTAAGAATCTGGTCAACTTTGACTGCGGTAACTAAACTTCCAAAATAATTTCATTTAGGTCAATAACTAAACTTTGTTTTGTTCATTTTTGGTTTCAAATTTCTCCACTATCACATGCTACTCCCAAATTGATAAAAATTACTTAATTATAGGTCATATCACGATGATCTTCCACAAAATCGTAGTGTGCTATGCGAAATTATCAATACACTATGGACATAAAAGTATTAAAATAAAACCCTGTTTGATACCAAAAAAAATTAATATTTTAATTTGAGTCAAAATCAATAATTAATTTTAATCACATATTTCATAGAATCCACAACTTTTTAAAAATATATTTTCTTAACTTTTATCAAAATTTACTAAAAAACTAATTTTAATTCTCATAAAATATGGGCAAAGGCACGTCTTTCAATGTCTAGGTTTCTATGTAGAGCTTATATGGAAGATCAATTTCGGTATGATTGTCAAAGAAGCAATTTCTAGCATCTTGGAAGATTACAAGTGACGGAATATGACGAAGTAGTGAAATAAAAATTTAGCCCCTGTTGACACCCTTTTTTTTCATTTTATTTATCTTTCTTCATTTCAACTACGCATTCTATTAATAAAATAATATTACACATAAACCAAAAAAAATCTCATTACTTTTTAACCACACAATCTTCCATCAATCATTATTCAAAAAATTATTTTTCAAACAAAATGGGCGTCAAACAGGAGCTTAATATTGAAATTTAATGACCCAATTGAGATGAAGTAGTATTTAACGACCTGATTTAGATTTCACAGAAAATTCAGTGACCATGAATGAAATTTACCCTAAGAATTTTTCATTTGTACAAATTCAAGAAAATAAACTTGATGGGCAAGTCAAACTCCAACTATAAATACAAACTTCTCGACTCGTAATTCGTAAAGTCTCTCAAACGTCGGTTTACACTATTTCATAAAATCTTGTACCCATATTCTTGGTTTTTCAGGAACAAAATATCTTGGTTTTTCAGGAACAAAATGTGTCCATCAGGAACCGCCTCGGGCCGTCGTGAAACAACCGGAAAACCCAATTTGCGATCAGCATTCGATGTTCTTGACGTCGATAGCGACGGAAAGATTAGCCAGGACGATCTACGGGCTTTTTACGGAGGATTTTCGGGCCCCGGGGATTCTAACGAGGATGATATAAAGTCTATGATATCTATGGCGGATCTTAACGAGGATGGATTTGTGGAATATGAAGAATTTGAGAAGGTTGTGAATGGGAAAAATGGTAGAAATGGGAGACGGGGTGTTATGGAGGATGCTTTTCGGGTTATGGACAAAGATGGAGATGGGAAAGTGGGCCGTGAGGATTTGAAAAGCTACCTTAAATGGGCCGGGTTTGAGGCCTGTGATGAAGATGTTGAAGCCATGATCAGGTTGGCTGGTGGTGATGAAAATGATGGGGTTTCATTTCAGGGTCTTCTCAAGGTTTTGGCTTTTTGATTTTTCTCGACTGGAGCACGATCGAAACAGAACTTTTATGTTTTCAAATAAGAATTGCAAGACAACTCTAGCCTAATATTTTTGTCTGTTTATTGTTTTTTATTTATATTTGTTGAACAATTTTCTTAATGTGTTAAAGGGGATAGAAAGAACATTGTTTTGAGATGATTCTGTTCTGACCATTTTGTTACATTTGTGCTTATATTCCGCATTATAAATGAGCCCCAACAATCATTCATCCAATTCCATTTCATTAAGAGCATGTTTCGGGGTAGGTTGATGCCTTGATGGGTACCTAGGCAAACAACACATTATTCATTGAACTTTTTTCAAATAAAAAGTTACTTATAAGTAACTATTATCTTACTGTTAAGAAACTTTGTTAACAACTTTAACCAATAGAGGCGAAAGAAACATCAAGTCATGTAGAGTTCATTCGAACACATTCTCTAAAGATGTACTTGATTAATACAAGAACCTGTCCAATGTTGGTTATAGAGGAGACACTGCCATTACATATTAGTTTAGTGTGTTTTTCCAATGAAAAAAGGTCCTAAGCTTGTAAAATAGTTAAACCAGATCGATTTGCCCGCTCTCCACTAGTGGCTTTATCGACTTGTAAGGTAAAGCATACAAATCATCAGCTTCAATGTTGACAGGCTCTTCCCCACTGTCACATTTCCAATATTTTCAAATGTCAAGAAATGGTTACACAAAACAAATCCAAAACTCAGAAAAGATCACAGTGAAGAATTAATAAAATTACCTGTCATCCAGCTGAAAGGCTCCTAAAAATTTCTTGCTTCTGCAGATAATGTAGGTGTCCAGCTTTGGCTCTGGAACTAAATCACATATGGAGAACAAATCTAGTATTCAGTGTTGCAATATAGTGGTACGCGGCGTACACCAATCTCTTTCATAAAGATATCAATGGAATGTCGAGAAAAATGAACCATAAAAAGGATTCTGAGTCCAGTTTGCAGTTTAACTAGATACCATTCAACTCTAAATCTTCATCACTGTTGGGTTAAGTGTTGAAACCGTCGCATCTAGAACTCCTATAGTCCTATTTACATGTACTACATGCATATAAAACTTAGATTGCTTACATTTCAACAAGGTAGTCAAAAATTTGAAGTGCAAAATAAAGTTAAATCTCTAATTTATGCAAGAGTTGTATTTCAAGTACCTAGAATGGCCTATAAATGCATTTAGACTAATTATGTTCAGCGATGTTAACAAAATATTCAACTGGAAGCAAACTTGAACTCTGGTACATCCAGGATTAGCATAATGTTTCTAATGACCTCCTAAAGCCACCACTTTCATGTTAATGAATACTAAATTTGTACGAAAAGAACAAAAGTAAGTTATTTACAATGAAGTTGGTGTTAAGAGTATTTGAGCCTCAGAGGTCGACATTTGAAACATGATAATGTAGAAATGGTAACGCTTAGCAAGGAAACATTGCAGAAAAAAACGAGGGACAGATTGAACTAGTGCCAAGATAATAAACTCACCCATGTCATCATTTTCACTAGCTCCAGATTGCTTTAAATGGGACTGGTACTGATCAGGCAATTTTGTGAGCACGGATTGTTCCAGATGTTGTGTTAGGTCCCCAACACACCTGTATTTCTTGTCAACTATAAAAAATGTAATTTTTATAATAAAAGAGAATGAGAATAGCCATCACCTTATAGCAAATTTTTGTTCTTGTTTAGAAAGGCGATTCCATAATTCAGCAGTTTTTTGGATGTGAAGAACGTACTTCTCAATCTGTCAAAAAGTTTATTACAAGTGAACAAAGCTGTTACCAGAAGAATCCTAACATCTCATTGAATGCAAAAGGTAGATCAAGTCATGACAGTGGCAAGACTCACAACTAGACACACCCGACATGGCATAATAAAAGTTCTAACCAATGCTACCTTTTGAAGACGAGTCCGGAGATAAGATCTCAATAGGAACAGGGTCCGGTCCAAGTCCATCTGGTAAAGGGACACCGTGAGTGGATCAACACCGTTTCTTGTGAACTCTTCCACTGTTTCTTCCTAAAATAAGAACATAAAAAATAAAAAGTGAAGCCTCTGGCATTGCCCACTATAGCTGATACTCATTAAAGGATCATGTTAGCAAATAACTAAACAATCAGCAAAAACTATATTCCATTTAGTTCATATAATCAACAACCTGTTAAGTTTCTATTGCCGGTAACATCCAATGCAAAGCAAAGAGTAAATCTAGTCATTGGTTATCCAAAAGCTATGGAACTTGGTGTGAGTCTTTGAATGATTTTTTATTTTTTTGTTTATTATTTATCGTGAATGATGGAATCATTACAAATATATTCCCCCGTGATATTATAAGTTTCTTCCTCTTGAATGAATTTTAACCTAATTAGCAGCTTCATTTTTTGTGGTCTTTCAATATTGCTATAAATAAATTCAAAAATGAAACAAGTAAAAAGATTAGAACATTAATAATAGAGGGTTGGAAAAAAATCTCTCTTCCATATATTAATTTGCAGTTTCCAATCAACGACGGGTAAATCAAAAGGACTGAACACATACTTCATAAGTAAATGAAATATTAGGATGATAGATTGAGAATACAAAAGCTTTATCTACAATAATTGTTTACAGTATTACTTTTCAAGACTTTGGTCGACTTATCTAAATTATTTCAATTCCTCCAAAACTCTGAATCACCCCAGTACAAAAAAAAAGGAGAGAGAGAGAGAGAGAGAGAGAGATTGAAAAGAAAAAGTTTGTGAAGCTAGCGGAGAGGAAGACAGGTAGATTGATATTTACAGTACCAGGAGCTAGGAGCAGGCATATGTGAAATTAGATACATGTAGCAGTGACTTGTAATAGAAATTTGAATTATCCAAGAACGGCGTAGAAACATTTGCATAGATTTTATCTAGGCACAAATTTGTTTAACATTTTTATTTTTAGGACGGCATAATAATCCTGATCATGTACACATGCTTTATGTCGAAATTCTTTGTTTTCTGTTGAAGGAAATTTGTAGATTCTTCTCTTCCACACGTAGTCGAAGCGGATGAGTGCATGTTTGAAAGCTAAAGTATAATTAGGTAAAAATAAAAATTCAAAGTGACATAATCTGCATTGCAACTCATCGATTCATCCAAAAGATTAAATTTTCATCATAATCTGTAATGCATCCATATTCTATTCATACTAGTGACAAATTCCATCAGGACTCAAGAAAACAGAATGCAGGTTACGGCGAGCCACACAAATTCAACATTATATTCAAGTGCCTTTTAGCTAAAGGATATAAAATCATGTAATGCCTTATACTATCCATCCATTTAATATAAACCATGATATAAGCATAGTTTTTTTGTAAAAAAAATCATTTTAATTTTTGGTACAATCTGGTTTACTCTGCCAAAGCCCACTGACTGGAATTCATTTCACGAGAACATTCATTTTCATTTGGTTTAGAAAATTGAACATCAAATAATTGAAATTAAACCTTGGCTATGTTTATTCAAAGCTGCTAAATATTAGGGAAACAAAATGGAAGATTACATGAACAAAAAGAAAAGCTTCAACTTTTACGATTTGCACACATAAATGAGTTTTTCAACATATTACCTAAACACATTAAGGACAAATTTCAGTAAAAATTGAACATCATAATTTCAAGTAAAATTGTAGCTTTTTATTATTCAAAAACTGCAAAATTTTAGAGAAAACTGCCGTAAAGATTACATAAACAAGAAGAAAAGCTGCAGTTTTTAGAATTGGAACAAGCAATAGATTTCCCCCCATAAATGCGTTTTGAACATATTGCCTCTACAAATTAAAACAAATTTGAGGAAAAATTGATCAAACAATTAAATTAAAGCCACAGCTGAATGCATTCAATCACAAGCTAAATATAACACCCCTCCCCCCAGTAGAAAAAAGTTAAAATGGCAAAACGAGTGGGGAAGACAATTAAAGTTTTAGAAAGATTAATTGAAAAATTATAAAGTATACCATCAATTGGATCTGCTGGCGGGATCTCCGAACTAAAGCCACCTCGAATTCAATACTAAAAGCAGAAGGTTCAGCAAAAATTGGAGAAAAAAATTTGAACATCACATAGTTAAATAAAACCATAGATGAACTCCTTCAACAAGTTGTCTCTAATGGCGTCAAATCGTTAGTCAATAAACCCCACCCCCAAACCACGCACTCATACGGAAATCTGAAATAAATAATTTTTTTCGTTAACGCATTTTATCAAACAGATGCAGGACAACACCGCAGAAGGGCAAATAACGATTAGCACCAATTCTATCGCTGTTGCTAGTACTGACTCAAAACAGTATGAAAGTAAAATGTGTGGGCATGACAATTAGGGTTTCAAAAGGATAATTAATCCAATTAAACAATTGTATAAGTATACCATCAATTGGATCTGTTGTCTAGATCTCTGAACTAAAGCAGCCTCGAATTTGAGAATCTCCGGCGCTGCCTTTTCGTTCCGCCATGCGCGCTTAAGCAGCTCAGCGTCGGTAGTCGAAATCAACGATTCGTAATCGTCAGTCGATGAGCCTTCTCCTGCTCCTGGCTCCATCTGATAATTTCCCTCTCTCCTTTTCTGGAAATTCAAAATAGCAAGTGTGCTACTTTAATTTTCTTGAAAATCAATAGAATGTGATTTTTTAGTTAAATGAAAAGTAAAACTGAAAGATTAAAGAATTGGCGCCAAAATGTTAATAATCTAGGGAAAAGTTGTGCTATTCGTCCCCGACATGTCGCCCTTGTATCAATTTAGTCCCTAACCTTCTTTTTTATTAATTGAATATATAATTTAATGAAATTAGTGCTACAACGTAGATTGATATTAAACACCAATAGTACTAAATAACATTACTATTAAAAAAAAAAAAAGACCATTTCAATATTAGAGGCCACTTTTCCCTTCACTTTTATAGTAAATCCCATATTGATGATATGTATGACCTACACTTTATTTGCATCTTCTAATTTTTATTAATATCATTTCAAGAAATATGGTTATCATTGTCGAAGCCAGGATTCGGTCCAGTGAGAGTAGGACTACTGTTACGCATTTTCTATAAGGTAAATGAACTGCAAGTGTACGATATCAAGTTTTATAATATAAAAAATAAAGTACGGATGTCGAACGTGGATTGAAAATCAATTTATATTAATTACAATAATTATGTAGCATTTATTTTATCTAGATGATTGAATTTTAGAATCAATGTTTTTTATTAACTAAATCTAATGATTCCAATGAAATTTAGAAGAATTAAATTAATTAATTAAAATGATAAGAGTTTAGGATTGTAATTTTACCTAACTATCAACTATATTTCTAAATTCTCTAGTTATTTCTAATCAATTTTCTCATGTTTATAAGCAAAAACCCTAATTTAATTACACTCCCTCTCTAAAGTACGGAGTAAAAATTATTCTTAGAATTTAATGTCAATATCTCCATCCAGAATTAAAATCAAGAAATTATCAAATTCGTGGTTCTTATGTGGAACATGCACCAAAGATTCTATATTTTCTCTCGAAACTTATAAAATCTAAGTTGTGTTATTCTAAAAT